AGTTTTAACACGTATATAAAACTAATGTATGTAAAGTAAACGTAGTTACTTGTTCATTATTACCATTTAGTAAATCTCTGTTATCCAAATTGCGAATTCCATAACCATACGATAGACTAGATGTGGCAATAAGTAGTCCACATCACCTTATGACTTTCATCACCCTTGAGCCTTTCGGTTCGGTTGTAGCTAGCAGCCAGGTGTGGGGTAGTCAGCCCCGTATAGATCTATACGCTCAAGTCACGTTCTCTCTCAACGAGATTCTAATTATGGGGGCGGTCCTCCACTCGTGTATCTCTGTGGAGTGTTACCAAGGACTTGTCTCCAATTTATAGGAATAACAAATTTACTAGTAATAATATAGAAAGGTACTGATGCAAACGATGATCCTCCACTCGCGTATCTCGGAGGAGTGTTACCGAGGACAAAACAATGTACTAGGTTTCATGTTTCAAGTTCAAAGTTTATGCTTTTAACTGATATAATGTGGAAAACCATTTGTGAAAATATAAAATACAACATTTTATAATGTTTTTCACAAATAATACGATAGTGTGTTCTGCGAGTTCAAACTGTTATCGGTTATGATTATTAGTGTTAAAAGCGTATGAATTATGGAACGTAACACATGTAAAAACAAGTTTAAAGTACAAGTATTCCTTGTACTTTGGTTGTATCCCTCCTGAAAACAGTGCAAAACATTGAAAAAGAGTAGAGGTATGAACTTACCGCTTAATGTAGGGTTCGAGTGTCAACGGATGCCCTGAACGCCTATGGCCCCTATTATTCATGTGACGACACATAAATGAGTTAGAACTAAGGTGTTTCATGATTAAACATGATGGGAAAACATCCTTAGGGCTTGGAATTACTATGAATAAGTGTCCTATGATCCAGACTTAATGATTTATGCAAGTTTAGGGCCAAATATGGGCATTAGAGTGGGTGTATGGTCTTGAAAATGAGTGTGTGGCTGGGGAGTGCGGCCAGGAGTGTGTGTGAGGCAGCACACAAGAGTGTGCGGCCGTACACTCCTCATTTGAGTCCATATGATGATTTTGAAGTGTTTACTCTTCACACTTGGGAGATTTGAATGTATGCTGCCCCCATATGATGGTGTGCGGTCGTACACCTTCAAGGGATGATAAACATGATGAGCATGATGAGTTTTAAGCTTGGGATTCAAGTGTTTACCACTATACTTAGCTTGAAAATGGAGTAGATCACAGTTATGAAGCCTTCCAAGTGTTCTTGGTTGATGATTTTAGAGAGAGAAAGTAGAGAGAGGGAAGAGAAACATCCAAATGAATGAATGAAGGGGTATCCATCCATATAAGGGATTGAGTGTGAGGTTAAGGGTGAGTGCGGTTGGGTGTGCTATCGTACACACAGGTGTGTGGACTCACACACCTTATTTGGTGTGTTTGGCCCGATTTTGTAATACTAAAGCACTTTCCAACCATTCCTAGGACTTATATCCAGGTTATACTAAGTCTAGAGCACCCATATGGAACCACAAGATGTAAAAAAGATAATGAACTCAAGTTTTAGTGCTGAAACGCAGATTAATTACATGGTTATAAGTTTCGGGTTGTCACATTATCCCCCCTTTAGAGGGAATTTCGTCCCGAAATTCAGAGTTAAGATACAAATCATGGATTTGGAAAGAGATGCGGATACTTCTGTCTCATTGAGTCTTCACTCTCCCAAGTGAATTCCGGTCCTCGCTTGGCATTCCAGCGAACCTTCACTATCGGGATGCGACTTTGTTTTGTGCGTTTGATCTCTCGATCCATGATTTCGATTGGTTCTTCCACAAAGTTCAGGTTCTCATTGATCTCGATTTCATCAAGAGGGATCACAAGAGTTTCGTCGGATAAACACTTCTTAAGATTAGAGATATGAAAGACGGGATGAATGTTTTTGAGTTCATGGAGTAATCGGAGTTTATAGGCTACCGAACCGATCCTGGCGAGGATCTCAAAGGTTCCAATGTACCTCGGATTAAGTTTCCCACGTTTCCCAATGCGTATCATGCCTTTCCATGGCGAGACCTTCAACAGGAAATGGTCTCCAACCTGGAACTCCAGAGACTTCTATCGGTTATCAACGTAACTCTTTTATCGGTCTCGTGAAGCTTTCAGTCGTTCTCGGATCTGGATGATTTTCTCGGTGGTTTCACGGATGATTTCAGGACCAGTGAGAGCACTGTCCGGAAATCAACTCTTGGCCAGCTGCGTGTCCCCTACCTCGGCCCAACACAGATGGGATTTGCACTTGCGACCGTAGAGGGCCTCGAACGGAGCAACATTGATGCTGGTGTGGTAACTATTGTTGTACGAGAACTCGATCAAAGGTAAATGTGTGTCCCAAGACTTCCCGAAATCGATGACACATGCCCTAAGCATGTCTTCCAGGGTTTGGATAGTCCTCTCACTCTGTCCGTCGGTCTGAGGGTGATAAACCCTACTCATGTCTAGTTTGGTTCCAAGAGACTTCTGAAGAGACTGCCAAAATCTGGAGATAAACCTGCTATCCCGATCAGAGATAATGGACACGGGTACACCGTGCAGTAGAACTGCCTCTTGGATGTAGATCCACGCAAGTCTTTCCATCTTGAACGATTCTTTAATCGGGGTGAAGTGAGCGGACTTGGTCAAACGATCAACAATTACCCGAATGGTATCGTACCTACTCTGACACTTGGGTAACTTGGTGATGAAATCCATGGTAATCATCTCCCATTTCCACTTGGGTATTTCGTGTTGCTGGAGAAGACCCGAAGGTTTCTGGTACTCGACTTTTACTTTGGCGCAAGTCAAACACTTGCCCACAAACATAGCGATCTCGGCTTTCATGTTTGGCGACCAGTATTGATTCTTGAGATCTAGGTACATCTTGTCCGAACCTGGGTGAACAAAGTATCTGGTCTTGTTTGCCTCTTCCATGACAATCTCCCTGAATCCTCCGGTCTTTGGAATCCAGATTCGGTTCATGAAACAGTAGACTCAATCACTTATGATCTCAAGTTTCTTATCCATTCCCCTCAAGGCTTCGCTTGATTTGTTCTCGGGTTTCAGGGCTCCTATCTGAGCGTCTCGGATTTGCATGGATAAATGGGAATGGATAGTCATCGTTAGTGTTCTCACTTTACAGCTTGAACTTTCCTTTCGGCTAAAGGCATCTGCTACCACATTGGCCTTGCCGGGATGGTAGCGAATCTCACACTCATAATCACTGAGCAGTTCTACCCATCGTCGTTGCCTCATATTTAGGTCCTTCTAATTGAGGATGTGCTGCAGACTCTTATGGTCAGTGAAGATCGTACACTTGGTTCCGTAGAGATAATGTCTCCAAATCTTTAGTTCAAAGACTACGACTCCTAACTCCAAGTCGTGCGTGGTGTAGTTGACCTCATGTGCCTTTAGCTGTCTCGAGGCATAAGCAATTACCTTTCCCCTTTGCATAAGTACACAGCCTAAGCCCTGATTAGACGCATCACAATAGACAATGAAGTCTTCTATCCCTTCGGGTAGGGACAGAACTGGCGCACTACACAAGGCTTGCTTTAATGTCTCGAACGCTGATTCTTGTTTTTTTTACTCCAACAAAAGGGTACCCCTTTTTGTGTTAGAGTGGTTAGGGGTTTGGTGATTTTGGAAAAATTCTGGATAAATCTTCGATAATAGCTGGCGAGACCCAAGAATTGACGGATTTCTGTGGGTGTCTTTGGTGCCGACCAATTCTCTATTTCTTTAATCTTGGAAGGATCCACATGAATACCCTCCTTGTTTACCACATGACCGAGGAAAGTTACCTTCCGAATCCAGAATTCACACTTGGAAAATTTCGCGTACAACTTCTCGGATCTAAGGGTTTCCAACACTAACCTCAAGTGTTGCTTGTGGTCTTCTTCACTTCTGGAGTAGACAAGGATGTCATCAATGAACACGATGACAAATTTGTCTAAGAAAGGATGACACACCTGGTTCATCAGGTCCATGAACACTGCTGGTGCATTGGTTAGACCGAAGGGCATCACTACGAACTCGTAGTGTCCATACCGAGTCCTGAAAGCTGTTTTGGAAACATCACTCTCCTGAACTCGTAACTAATGGTACCCTGACCGAAGGTCTATCTTTGAGAAGTAACTGGCTCCCTGAAGTTGATCGAAGACGTCATCTATTCGCGGAAGAGGATATCGGTTCTTGACGGTCAACTTGTTCAGCTCACGGTAGTCGATACACATCCGGAAGGATCCATCTTTCTTCTTTACAAATAAAATCGGAGCTCCCCAGGGTGAGGAACTCGGTCTGATGAACCCTTTACTAAGTAACTCGTTGAGTTGGCTGGATAACTCCTGCATTTCTGCTGGAGCTAAGCAATATGGAGGCTTGGCAACGGGGGTAGCTCCAGGAATTAGGTCAATGCGAAATTCAACCTGACGTTCAGGAGGAATTCCTTGGAGCTCAAGGTTGGAGGCGTTGGCTTATCCTAATATCGTCTTCAAAACCCTAGGGTTCAATTTTGGATCCTCTGTCATCCAAAACGAGTTATTGAGCATTCTTGTTGATTCACCTGGGCACATTGGCTCTTCTACTGATATTAATGTTGCCTTATGTATCGGATATGGTGTATTAGGTACTGTTGATTTCAATAAAGATGATAGTGTCATGGAAAAAAAATTCTGTCTCCAAAACTGTGGAGAAATATTTCATCTTTTTGTGACTGTTAACAAAAGTGACAAGTATTTCTCTAAATATCTGGTGCATGGAGCATACTTCACATTTCAAAAGGTTACTGACGATTCTAATGTCACCTTATCCAAACATCAGGACCCCCTGGGTGATATTATGGTTCCCCAAGAAAGAGTGCAGGGGAATTGGTGTATGCTTGCTGGAATCAAAATACACGAAAAATGTCTTGAATAGGTTACAATTATAGCTGGTTATGATGATCATGGTGGAAGTAATGTCATTACTGGTGAGAACAAGAAGAGTATGGAGAGCTCTTGGATCCTGGAGAATTTGAAGAAGAAAGGGATTGATGAAGAGATAGATAAAGAAATACTTGTTATTGCTAAAAAGGGAAAAGATGTTAGCAAAGATTTGATGTTAAAGTTGTTGCCAAATAAGTTTCCTGGGGCAAATGGAAGTGGAAGTGAAGTTACTTATGGTGAGCTTTATCGGCTGGAAGAGTTCCTGTTGTGCCCCCTTAAGGTTTTGGATGATTCAGGTGATGGTTTTACTAAAGGACTTGAAGCTGAATTAGCAAGTTTACATAGCAAGGGCTTTAATGCATCAGTTACTTCTGGTGGATATGGCTGGTACATCACCTTAGATCCTAATGAGAATGGTTGGGAAGTTGTGAAAAAGGTGGGAATGCACAAGTCATTGGTGAAGTCCCACATAAATTCAAGAATGTTTTTGAGGTGGTGAGGATACCAAGCGAGGGTCCCAGTTTTCATTACCAATACTTCTCCTCAGGTGTGATGAGTAATAAGAATGGGAAGGTTGATAAAGTTATCAAGATGATCTTAGAGGAATTGGAGCCAGTGATTGTAGGGCAAGCCACCAAACAAGGGTTCGAACTTGAAGAGATGGAAGGAGAACAACAGCAACAGGAGTCACTTAAGAAGAAGTCAGAGGAGATTTTGGTCTATTCTCTTAAGTTATTGATGTTACACATGAAGTTTGAGTTGTTTTGGGTTTACCTTTCATTTTGGCAACTGCACTTGAATAGGAATGTAAGGAAGACCCATTCTTTCCTTCACCTTGAGGACAAGGTGAAAGTTTGGGCCGTTGGTATTGATAAGCCCCGACATTTCTGTTATCTTTTTGACCAGGGGTAGGATGGTTTTTTCTGGTATTATGGCTGTTTTGTTATGTCAAGAGCACTAACTTTGTCCCAGGACTGTTTTAGGGGACCACTCCCTAGAGGTTTTTGTTTAGCAGCTAAGAATGATTATGAATTGAACTTTGTTTTTTCTTGGAGATACCCACATCTCGAAAGTTGGGAATTATCTTAATATTATCACGTAATTGAATCAGGGGTTAAAATGCCTGGAGTTTATGATAGATTCAACAAGGATCTATCAGTGGCTTGGGATTAAAGGACTTACAACAAATCTTGTAAGAGCATAAATGAAAAGTGCAGTGTTGTAAACTGTGAATAGGAGCTTATTGACCTTCATGAAATTGGGATCTAATGCAACAGCCATTCTACAGTCGTTTAGACATTTTCCCTCATTCTTCCAAGAGCCATGCGTATAGTTGCACGATTGCTATAACAGAAAATAAGAGGCTATATACAAACGCCAGGTGTCTTTGTATGTTGTATTGAACTAATACCATTTGAATAACATACTTCAGCTTCTGATAAATCTCCACTCTTATAAACCTCGTTTCCCCTACAAAAATCAATTTATTTCAGAAATCAAAACCATATTAGGTTTATACAAATGTAAAATATCAAAAAAAAAGGGGGGGGGGGGATAAAACAACACCTTTTTCGCCAACTTCACATGTTTCTTGAGCTGTAGCCTTTGTGTGCACCCTGTTACCAGGTTTATGAAAATGGAACACATTAACACAGCCAGTTCTTAGCTTATACTTCTTCTGATGTGGCCGTTGTCTCACTGCCATGGCAGCACTAGCAAAAGATGTAACAGAAGGTGAATATATAGATTTTCATCTCAAAAAAAAAAATCAAATAAAAAAAAATTACAAGAACAACTAGTGGATCACGAGTAACAGCATCGCCATTGATCATGTTAACAGGAAGCATGTTCCCATCTCTATCTATTGTGTTCACTAGAGTCTCATCTCCATCCAGGCATATTTGAGCAACATCAAGTCCAGCCTTCACCAAACCACCCTATAAATAAACATATATATATGTAAATACTAGTAAATAGTCAAACAAAATTTTACTAAAGTCAACTTTAGGCTACTTACTGGATTGTTTCAGAGATCCAAAATGTAAGATTCAACACCCTGATTTTCAAATTCACAAATGGCGTGTTTCATATCTGTAGCAACACTCTCTTTACAAAAGCTTGTTGTTAGATGAATTTAAGATATGAAGTTATAAAGTAAGACTAAGATTTAGAGAATTAATAAGCACCTGGGAGAAGGCTAATAGCTTTACATATCCGGTTTTGGATACATGACCATTTGGTGTTCTATGAGGAATGATGACACTTAATATAGGAGAAAGTCTGATGAATTCTCGGGGTAGTTTCACCTCTCTAAAACTAGAGTCAATGGCCAACTTTTTTCCATGTAGATCAGAAATATGAACATGCACAAATTTCTATAAAACCCTTTGGAAAGGAATCAACCATTCCATTCCTTCCTACCAAACGTAAATGTAAGAAACTTACATTGTGCACTTTGACTGTAACACTTGTCCCAACATAACCTCTAAGCCTTTGTGCAGCAGCTTCACCACTAATCCCTTTAACTCTCTCTCCATTTATTTCAATCAACTCATCTCCTACATGTATTCCAGCTCTAGCAGCTGGGCTACCCTCAACACAGGACAATAAAACCTGAAACAAAAAATTTTAAATTTTTAAAAATAAAAAATAAATAAGAATCCATAACTGAGGTCTCAGGTTCAAGTCTCAGCATCACAAACCAGATGCCCGGTTTTTGATTCAGTATTCACAAATAGTCCAACTCTTTGTACGTTTCCATCACTTGCAATTCTAAAACTTTGGTATTCCTGTACAAATCATTGCCGAAAAGAAAATAGAGTAAGTTCCCCCTTTTGGAATCTAGGAGTAAGAATAAGTTACAAAAATGGTTCCGGGTTGTTTCTGAATTTTAGTCCAAAACTGAAAACTCTTTTAGAAACCACAGGGAAAATTTTTGTAAAAGTAATGGGAAAAGTTGCACCTTTGGACTGATAATGCGAGTGAAGCGATCTTCAAGAGTAGAAAGCATTCCTTTAATCTTGCTGTATGCGGCATCAGCTGTTCTAAGTGGATGCATTTCCAACATTGTTTGCTGGAATTTCGAGTCCCAGTCTACAGAAAACACATAAAATTACGTTAAACTTATTGACACTAAATGACATAAAACAATAGAAATGAATTGTACCTTGATGATTAAAAGTTTGATCAACAAAAGTCTCTCTGATCAAACCCCAAGTCTCTACGAGAGTTCGCTGCACAACATTCACCTGTTACAAAATCAAATTTTACCAAACCCATATAAGCAATAGATTGAACACCTTATCTGCACAACCCAAACAAACTACTAAAAAAGATGATCGAACTGAACACCTACCTCATGAGTATGAGAAGCTGGGAATGCTATTGTCAAGGACTCAGCAAGAGCTGGTGAATCCAAAACAAACAGAGACTGCAGCAGCGAGCCTGATCAAACCTTTAGCGATTGAATCAATCAATTTCTTATTGGATTCAACTGATTCATTCGAATTTTCCTTGGGTAAAGCTTGAGGTGGTGTTGGTACTTTACACTTGCTATGGTAACCATTGAAACTAGAAGAAGATAATCGGTACTTATAGGGAAAAGTTGAAGAGGTTGGTGTTTGAGGGGTTTTGGTGTAAATTGATGAAAGGGGTGAAGAATTACTAAGATCGAGATTAGGTTGGCGTAGAGCATCCATGGTAGATACTCTAACTGGGGGATTTAGGGGGTTTGTAGATCGTAATCAAGATAAAAGGATTTATGGGGAATGAATGAACAAGTGTAATGGTTGGATTTAGGGGGATTTATGGTAATCCCTAAAAATCGGACCCAAAAATCTCTATATCGGGTTTACAAATACACAAACCACGCTTTTTCCTGGTTCAGAAAACCAGAAGGGTGATTAGGGTTTTCCAGAGAGAAAGAGAGAGAGGGAATGCAGAGGTAGAGAGAATGCAGAGCTAGAGACTTGACCCAACATTTATTATACCTGGTAGAGAAGATATAAGGAGGTTTGCTAAACCCTATCGCAGCCATTAATCTTTGTATCCTCACACAGTTACATAGGGAGCATTGATCGATCTCAGAATTCTCATAGGTCTCGTCAATCTGGCCCCTCAGCCAAGAAGAAATCCGATACTGATAAGAAGAAACGAGGCTTCACAGCAAAACCCTAAGGTTTTTTGAATGTTTCTTGATTTTCCATAACAAGATGAAAACAAGCGTGGTGTGGACTCACAAGTAAGGATTTAGAGGGTGAATAAGAGGTTGAGATCATAGAAGCGAAGAATAAAGAAAGGGCAGAGATAGTTAGAGACAACGAGGGATGGTGGCATACGACAACGACAAACTTCATCATCTTCTTTCACTGCCTGGCGGTGTTTGATTCGCGGTGACGACGTGATTAGGGCAAGAGGGAAACAACCATCGAAATAGAGAAACAAAAGGGCAGAGTCGATTGTGAAGATAAAGAAAAGAAGGTAGAAAAGAAAGGCGGGTTTTCAAAATTTTAGAGTTTCGTTTCCCCCGTTATCTTCTCAAGGCGCGTTTCCTTAAAATTATAAAGCGACACCTACAGAAGACGCACGTTTAAGATAAAGTGCCCTCCGTGTTTTTAATTTTTTAACTTGAGACACTAGTTTAGGGGCACGCAAAAATGCGTGTCCACTATCCTTCAAATTTTGGAAGTCTGACATTATTTTTAAGGACACCCAAAAATGGGTAACGTGAATCCGTGAGTGTCATTGTTTGCGCGTCATTAAAGGCTATTTTTCTTGTAGTGATAGGCCATTAGTTGTAAATAACTGTTGTAAGGCTTATAATGTACTGTTTATACTTATGTACTGTATTGAACATGACATCTCAAATCTTTTAATGAAATACATTTCTAAGGAAATGCTTTTGATAAATCTTTATTATATTATTTTTTTGGGACAAATTTCACAATTCTTTTATTAAAAGGTTACTCTGATTTTGAAATAGAGTATCAACAAAACCGGTCTTTTCTGGCCGTGAAATTGGGGATGTCACAGGTCAGCCACCAAATAAATCTCTCTATCTTTTTACTCTCTGTGGTAACCATTCCCGGACAGAGCAGTGCCAAGTCATCAAACCTCGAGGTGTATGTTGCAATATCGGAACCTTTCATCTTCAGGTTCCAGAGTTCGTGCTCTAACTTCTGTATTTCGCCCGGAGGGCAGTACTCAACCAGAAGGAGTTCTTTCATGGCTTCCCAACCCATAGCATTGGCTACAGATAGGTTCAAGGATTTGACTCGGCCATTCCACCAAGTCAGGGCTTTGTCGCTGAAGGTACAGGCTGCAAACTTTACTTTATCAGATTCCGAATAGGCACATATTTCAAAGATGGATTCGATTTTCTCGAACCATCGGGTGAGGGAAATGACACCTCCAGTGCCATCAAAGGAAGTGGGTTTTGCGATCATGAAGTCTTTATAAGAACCCCCTTTTCGGTGTCCTTGACTATGTTCGAGGTTTTGG